AGAGAGGTCGGTCATGAAATTTTTGACTAAAACTGCTAATTTTGATGTTTATTTCGTCACATTATGAACTTTGAGGGGTGTTTTTAGGAAACCAATAAAACCACTTTTAGAACCTCAGAATTTTGTATTAACGGAGTTACAAGCGTTGAAAGTTTCCAAATTTTGTCCGACCTTTTCTATTGACTCGATCCACTGTGCGGCTCCTTCATGTGCGAATCCAGACACTTCAAACGGAAAGGAGCGTAAGGGGGATCCAGAGCACCCCCCCCCTCCCGAAAATTGTCGAAATGTTAAAGTATCTCATAAGCAGTTCGAGGCAATTTTGTCATGAATGATTATCAATTACAAGCGTCCTTCCCTCTTCTTTCCTCCGTTCCTTCCTTCCTTCTTTCTTTCTTCCCTTTTCTTTTTCCTTTTTCCGAGCGGAGCGGAGGGATTGTAAACTTTTGCGAGGAACACAACGGCGCCACTGGTTATCTCCGAAATCAACTTTAAAGCTCAAAAACAGCTCTTAAAGTTGAAGCCCTAATGGAGGAGATATCCCACGCTACCCTGAGAGTCTGCCTCCGCCTCTTTATCAAGACAAACTCTCTATACAAAGATAAAGAGCAAATACATTAACCGGGTTGCCACTTTGTTTGGGGACTCCAAAACTGAAAACGCGGCAACCCTGTAAATGCATTATTTGCTCCCTATCTTTGCATAGAGTCTGTCTTGATAAAGAGGTGGACTCTCAGGGTAGTGTGGACTATCCACGGAGAAAAAAACCTCATGCGTGAGACCCGAAGTTTAGGTCATATGGATCTCTGAAGTTTTCGGATTGAACATCTGAACACTTTAGGTCTAGCTGTCGAGGTTTGGATCATACATCTGAAACTTCAGTTCTTACATCTGAAGTACTTCAGATGTGAGAACCGAAGTTTTTCGGATGTGAAAACCGAAGTACTTCAGATGTAAGAACTGAAGCTTCAGATGTGTGATCCAAACCTCAGCAGCTGGACCTAAAGTGTTCAGATGCTCAATCCGAAAACTTCCGAGATCCATATGACCTAAACTTCGGGTCCGACGCACGAAGTTTTTTTCTCCGTGTCCTCTCCATTACGATCTCGACTTTGAGAGCTTTTTTTGAGCTTTTGAGTCGATGTCATAGAAAACCAGTTGCACCTTCTTGTCTCTCAAGAAATTTTACGGAAGAACTAGTACTTACATCGCAGATCCCTCACGCATGCAAGAGCTCCATTTTCTCGTCCAATTTCTCTGCCAGGAAAATCAAGACACCGTGTGATTACCCTGTGGATGTGGACAATGGGCCGAGCCTGAGACTTGACATCAGGGACGATGTTCGACACCGGGCATTCGGCGTCCTCTGGTTTTTTGTGCGCTTTGATGTTGGATGTTGGCAGTGCATTTCCTCGCTCGGCCGCACTTGGCCATCGCCGCTTGCGGTTTCCATGTCGCATCTCGTCGCTCCTCTGACGTAAGGACGTATCTCCACTTCCACGTGAGCCTTGTTCTCCGTATAACCCTACGCTTTCCGGGGCCAATGTGAAAATGAAGATACGCTTTTATGTCAGAGAAGCGACGATCTGGATATGGGACCTCCATCTCGAGTTCACTCCCGCTCCAGCATCGTTGTCACATATCTTTTGAATTTCCCGCTCCAGGAAAACTGTCCTGTTTTCGGGAACCCAGGGATTTCATCCCGATATATCGATGGCCGAAGTGCGAAAACACGTATCTCCGTTTACAGATCTTTCTTTTGCGAGCCAATCAACGCAATTTCTTGAAAACTTTCTGAGTTTTCTCCTCTGTCTGCGGAATACTCTGTATGCATTTCAAGCCATAAAGTCGGCTTTTTTCCTCTTTGATGTTACGAAATAGTAGCGGAAAATTTTAAATACCCGAATGGCGATACGTGGTTTCGCACTTTAGCCATTGCTATCGAGGGAAATGAAAGCTCTATAATGAGAAGGGTTTCCGTCATAAAGTTTAGCTCAAACTCAAAGCTGATTGTACATGTAGCGACTTTTTAGGCATTATTAATGTCACGATGTAAACTTGGTTTGGTACTTGAGGTAAAATTTTTATCAGAGGCGTTCTTATTATTTTAACCGTTTAGTCCCTGCTAAGGGACGAAAAAGGTCCTGCTTTTGAGGCTCTTTCCATTCAAGAATCATACATATTTTTTGTCAACGAGACCATCGGCGGCAAAAAGGGTCCTTAGTTCTTTTGATATCATTCTCAGAGAAGCGTTCAATGAACATTTCAAAACACGGCTTCGTGAAAAAGCTTTTAAAACTTCACTATGTTATGTACATTAAAAGCACACATTAACCCTTTATCAGCAACCAAACAAACCAACATTCGGAATTCACGCGTTCGTTGCGAATTACCACCAGGGCGATGAAGAAAAATCGCAAATTCTAGCTGACTAGAGGAGCTTCAATCTGCGTTGGCATCCAAGTCCAAAACCTGGAGCGCTCCTCCGCAACACTGACACTAGGCAAAAGAGCAAATTTTCAAGACTATCCTTGGCAAGATGCATCTGATTCTCGAAAAATGAGGTGAGCTGGAGATGCATCTCCAATGATGCTCTTCAGTTATCCTCCTGAGCATTGCTCCCTGCTCCTCCATTCTTCGCTTTGGTAGAGGTAGACGCCAGATTAGATTTTGCGATATCGGGAGCGTTATTCACTTATTCATAGCTCCATCCCCCCTTTTTTTGCACAGCCGTCACATGCGGCTCTCTACAGAAACAGTCTTGCAGTGCGGCGCACTGTGGTTCAAATCAATGTATTCTTGGATGTTGAAACTTACCTTTGAGGAAGCAAGTCTGATCGATGGATTAAACTTTGTCGCTTCTTTTGCACTTAATTCAGCATTCGTTGATAAGTCAGAACTGTACTTTTGGCCAAGCATCGGCGCTAGGGTGGACTTATGTCCGTTCGTGTACTCGTCCTTTAAGTATATTCAAGAAGACCCGTTTTTCTCGACAAAATTCAGCCCCTAGTTTTTAGATCTAAACTTCTATCTAGGGATCATAATATTTTGATCAAGTTTTTTCTTATAATATACTCATGAAAAGGGATTAGCATGAAATGAATTTGGTACTCTACTTTCATGGTGTTCAGAATTTATTTTGTTACTATGATGATCGGAGTAAAAAAATCAAAAGAGAATATCTAATTTCTTTATCTAAAATCAAACTCAATCCATCATCATCCCAGTAAAATGTATTAAAAGATTTCTCAAAACGATGGCATGACGGGCAATTTCTCATTTTGAAGTCCAAGTTTCAAGAGTGATATTTTTTTTAAACTACAGGTTCAACTACTTCTTTTTGAGCACAGATATTGTTTTCTATCTCTTTTTGCCCCCTTTATGGCTCTCCTCTCTCTGCTCCTAGGAAAATGTGTATTTTCAGCGAACTTTTAAAAAGTACCTGCATTTTTTTTGGTTAACTCATGAATTGAAGGCAAAATTGTCTCGTTAGGCTCACTGTAGTAGTGACATCTGACCCTTCAAAAAACAAATCTTGAGTTTTTCGTTACAGCCGGAGTGTCCACCAATCAGAAAACTGTACCTCTCCTCCAAATTTTTTTCGTGCACTTTTGTTTTTAGACAAAGTGTTTCTGCGGATCTGGGTGTTTCCTTGGAAATTTTAAAACCACCTGGTGCGACACACATACAAAAAAGAAAAAAATTGGGGCCAAAGGAATAAGAGCTGAAATGGTCCATCTTTTTCTATTGGCCTTACTCTTATATATAGCGTTAATTTTTTTCCATGGGGGGGGGAGGGTAAGACAGCCCGGGGGGTTCGTTTGATTTGACTAGCTGACGGCCTACTGTGCTGAGACAAATCCTCAATCCTCTGATGTAAGGGCGTATCTCTCCTTGCACATGAGCCCCAAAAAGCATGGAGTTTTATGTGCATCAAGGCTCACGTGAAAATCGAGATACGACCTTACGTCAGAGGAGCGACGAAATTCTTAACTTAAGAATTCGTGTGATCTGCGAAAGGAACGGATGTAGAAAATATCATCGAACCTGCGTCGTCGCATCGATTTATATTTCAGGCCTCGCAGAATCGGAGCAATTTGTTTGGACCTGCCGCGCCGTTGGACAGCCGGTCTTGTTGCCAAATAGAATATAAAATTCGATACGATACTCCAGGAAGAATATCATTTTTAGGATCCTTGACTTCAGAGTGTAAACAAATCCGCCCAGTAACAAAATATGATAATTTGAATGCAAGCGAGGACGAAGAGAGGGTGTATTAAGACGAGATAATTTTTCCAGATTTTCTTTTTTCTTTTTCTTTATTTTTTGGCGGGATGGGGAGCTGAATCCTATACCACTTGGACCATGCTGTAGAAGAGGTAACGATCCAAAAAATTACAACCCTCCCCCCCCCCCCCGCTATTCCAGATGTCGTCTTGGATGTGATAGAAAGTTTTTTTTCACGACTGACAAAAACATACGATGTCGCATCATGTTTGAAGCGAAAAAAGAGGTTTCAAGTTTTATTCCTCCATAAGATTCAATGTCAAGCACAAAATTTAATGACTATTTTCACCTCCGAAATATATTTACTCGAGTTAGATTTTAGGACAGGAGATTTCTTCAAAATTCGTCTGATCTCTTTCAGATGAAATCAGTGAAATAGCTGGAACATCAAAATTCATCGTAATTTCATCGAGACGAGACATGTGAGAAAGCTGTAAATGCGCAGAGAATGACGTAGTTTCAGGCAAGACAGCAGTAAGTGACATCATCCCTCCAGAGAGCCAATAAAAACAGTGCTTTCAAGTAAAATGCTGCTCTCTTCTGCCAATTTCTAACCTGAAAATGTTTTTGTTGCGTGTCCAAAATGCAACCACGAAAGCACGCAGAAGATAGACTTACGGCTGTCTTGCCTAACGTTAGCCTAGCATGAAAATGAAAAATACCCTTTTTATACGATTGAAATCAATTCAGTCTATTTTTAATCATCCACACGATTTCTAGGAGTCTTTCGGACGATTAGTGGCAATTTGACAAAGAAAAAAGTCTTCTTTCAATGAAATTTTCCGGTCAGAAGCTTCTGAGCCTCAAAACTTCATTTTTTCACTCACTGCTCGCTTCGCTATTACGGCAGGATTGCAAATTTTGATCACTTGCCGCCGCCGGGATGAGGCATTTCCACGATTCTCCAGGATCGAAACTTCTTGTCGTGGGCACTCGGGACGTCTCCACTCGTCTGCGATGCCCATAGGAAGGACGACGAACCGCATTTTGCATCCGAGAAGAACTTAACAACTTTGTTTCGGTCTTTGACGTCAGCCGAGATCTTAACCGAAGAGACCTGTCCGGCGGTATTTTTTTCAATCCAGATGCACTGATTCAGTTTACTATCCTTCCCCGAATTTGGAGACCCGTAGCCCTTTTGATTGAACACATCAACTCTGTAAGCGTCAGTGGCGACCATCAAGGAGACCATCATCAACAGGAGCAACATCATTGATTTCCTCATGCCCGGCTCGGTGTCCGAAACTGCAATGTGCAAAATTTTTAGTTGTTCAGGGTGGCGAGTGCTAAGGAAAATCTTTCGAAATCGAAATCTTGAAAATTGTGTAACCCCCTTTTTTAAGGAATTTAAATAATAAGAAATTATTAATTTTCAAGAAAAAAACGCACATGTGATAAAACGTTCAATTTCCTACTGATGGTAGAGTCATGTAGTGGTACTACGATCTTTTTGGTCTTACTCCCTTTTTGCCAGTGGATAAAACTGCAAATTCAAAATAATAGTGTATTGTCTCCGGAAAATATACTAAAAAATCTTCGTCCCCTTGAAAGTCCTTTAGCAGTAATAATAGACGGCATTTTTTTTTTTTAGATTTTTGGTTCTAAGGTACTTTCTTTGAGAAAGCGCAATTTAAAAAAGTGAAACGGACTGCGGGCGATAAGAACGTCCGAGCCATAAACCTTGAGACGGAAGAAAAGCCTCGAGTGGCAAAAAATCCCGTGAAAATCGGAGCAACCGATAAGAATTCATCGACGGACATAGATTTCATTTTCGGATCAATATATTATTAAGATAAGATAAGAATAAGAGTTATAAATATTGAAACACTTACAATGTCATTTTACCAAGACAGCGTCACGTTGGCAACCTTAAGAAACTACGACTTGAGAACCAAAGGATGGATACTCTTTGAACGGTTATAATATACGACTCAAAACCACCAAGAATTCAATTATAGAAATTCTACGAAGAGGCAGAACCGCTAAATTATTATTCATTTAATGCAACAATAGCCGAAACGTTTTTAATTTTTGTAAAAAAACGATAAAAAAACACAATGTCATTACAATTCGGCACAAAACCCATCGAAATGTATAAAAAAACAGGTATAGCTGTACAATTGTTGTACTAAACGAAACTAAAAGCGTGCTCGCATATGAATACGTAAGGCACGTCGAAACATTGTAGGTCTAACAATTGAAGTCAGGGGCTCGTCTAGAAAAATCTCCATGTTCCAAGCTAAAAATCCGCACAAGTTTCGGATTTATAAGCCTTGGCTCCAGTCACTAAACCCAAGACGCGGCCGGTTCACCCAGAAATTTTTTGTAATTACGGGAGCTCATTTCCACAGCCTTTACACATTTGAATTTCTGGAATAAAATCATCAAATTTTGTCCGTTTGTTGCCGCATAGACAACATGTTATGCTTTAAAATTAAAGGGATTAAAAGGCACTTTCAAATTAGGGCATGAGGGGGGGGGGCTTTTAAAACGGTTCCCTCTTCTTTTAGGAATCCAGCTGTTTTGTCACTAAGAGCCTCAGAGTTCTCGTACACATGAATCTTTTATTGGATACTGTCGTCTAAAAACTAGATTTATCTACAGTAAAAATCAGGACTGTCTCGTAGAGCTTATTCATAATGATCTTATTTAAGAAAACTACTACAACTTTTAAATCGGAAAATACTTACAGAGTCTCGTTGTCGGGACAGGAGCTATTTGGAAGAGAGGACCAAACTGCGTGGACGGTTTTTCACGTGTAAATATGAGGACGGCACACGTACTGCTGAGAAAATACGGTTGTGGCAATATTTATGGATACGTCACACTGCAGCGTGGAAAATTTTCATGATCATGATTTATTGTTGGAATCACGACCGTCACCTAATATCACGTCCAAATTTTTTTTGACGCGAGTGCGGCTACACTTAGATCAAGTATTTTTTGAAGAGTATCAGCGATCTGTTCCTCGTAAGTTGAAAATAAAAGAAAATCGAGGTAAATTTGGAATATTGGCATCCTTTTACTCGAGCCTTTACGTTTGACCGTTTTCTTAGCAATCCTAAACTTCTCTGTAAAAATTAATGGATACCGGCAGATCTGCCTGAGCTATTTTCGATGTTTTTCTCACTTTTTTCTACATTTTTTCCGTCTGAAAAATTTTACTCGAAAATATGCATAAAAATGCTACCAGCAAATAACAGACTGTCCTCGAATTCTTGGTTTTGAAACGTGCAAGAAATATCAACTGCTAAAGATCCTCTGAGCGTCCGTATCATTTGCCTCAGTTGAGTAAGTAAAAACTCTACTCATGCTCAAGAAAGTACCGATCGTCAAGTTTAAGCTGTTAGAGGCGAAAGAAAAACTTCCATGTCCAAGTCCATAAAAACTTGTCATGCCCGGTTGTTGCGCACACTGAGAAGTGATATCTGTAATTTGGCATTCACTTTGTGCGGTTTCACTGGTGCGGTGCAGAAATTTTGGCTGCAGGGAAAGAATATGAGCGGTGCCAAATCATTACCTGGTATTAGAGTGCCATTGGTATTTGGGTAGTTACCAGAGGTTGTTGGGGATTCATGGCAGGTCATCGCTCAACTTCAACAGCGATAACTCGGATTTAACAAACGGAGTTCAATAAAGTTCCTGCATGAGTTTAGAATTAGCAATTTAACTTGTTATCAATTTTAACATGGTTTCCGTGAGATTTCTTCTAAAATTCATTCATTGGTGTGATATTAACGCTCTGCATTTACCTAATTCGGATATTTCTAGGTCGACAGTTTCGGCCAACAGAGACCGATGGGCGCTTTATTTATTCAATATGCATGCGCATTTTTACCGCAAGGAAACGAGACCAGAATCAAGCATAAATTGTATTGTATTTTTCCCGACTGGCTTCTACGCCAGTCTACGAGCGACTTACTGACTCGCACGGAATGAGTTTAAAGAACGATTTATAGCAATGGAAAAATCTCGGTTAGGGATTTAAAATAACGGAGTAGTTGACAGATGGTAACAGACGGTTGATTTCTTTCGCACAGTCACTCGTTAACTGTCAGCACTGCGTTTTAGGTAAAGCCAGATATGAAGCGAGGATACGTGAATCAATCTTGTAACTCTGTAATAATTAGGACCACAAATATTGTATTGTTTGTTCAGTTTACGTAGACATGAGTTGGACTGCATTTTGCAATTTGGACCTATAAATACCGGCCCGGTTTAAAAACAACGTATGTGCCATTAGTTTCCCCATGCTCATAAGTGTTTTTTCAGATGAGCCAGAATTTATAGGTCCAAATTGCAAAATGTAGTCCAGTTGTGCTATGACAGTAGTGTATTTAGTGCCTCTAATAGGCACACAAGTCTCCGACACCGATGTATATATGAAACTATTTCATTTTTAATCATCATGAGCAGTATACTACATAGGGTGTTTCAGAACATCCGTTGGCTTTCTGTACCTTGAAAATGCATCAAGACAGTGACTCGTCGGAACTAAAAATGTACGATCTAAATGGAACCAGAGGGATTGAATACAAATATTATCTGTCCCTCCACTTTCTTCCGTCTAGTCTCTCGGCATTTTAGAGTATGCGTATGAGAGTACGTGCTTGATCTTGGTATCGCATTTTATAATGAAAATAAGACTCTTTCCCAACTCGCTTCTTCCCTTTTTAGCTCATAAGGCATTTTAGGAAAATTACGGGGCAATTTGCTATGCATAGCGAACATTGCGAACCTGAGGCACATGCAATTTCAAAAGCAAGAATAGATTCTGAAAAAAGCAAAAAAAAAAAACCTTGTTATGCCCCCTTCGAACCCAAAATTGTGGGGATCACCGTAGTCCCAAAGTTGGTATTCAGGCATTTGAGGCCCTCAAGTTGAAAAAGTCCATCAATATTGGCATAGTTCGACTCCCGATTTGGATTTTGCGTGAAAAATCACAAAGGCCCGGTGTGTCGCACAAGTCATCCTCTCGTTTCGGCATAACCGCGACGTCTGCAACGACCGCCCCCTTGCCCCTTCACGGCAGCATGGATGAGACGAAGAACTTGAGGACCACCCCTTATGCCACTTTAACCCCCCCCCCTCCGAAAAGCAGCAATAATGAATGCGATGTATCCATCAAGTTTTTGACCAAGCGTACTAAATTGACGTCAGGCATGATGTCTCAAGTTGCAGAATCCATGCGAGCTGCACATCCCGCGTATGCTAATGCCAAAATGGCAACTGGGCAGCATCCAGCATCTCCGGCCAGTAACAAGAGACGGCGGCGCGGCGCTGATACAATCGACGAAATAGTATTCACCACCGGCGCATCTCTGAATTCCTCACCCTCCAAGTTGAAGCCGAGCGACTCGAGGAATTTGCATAAAAATACCGACGATATTTCAACTTTTATTTTTCACCTTTCCCTTATTATACCTGGAGCGGCACCTCGCGATGGCGCCTCAGATGCCGCGCGGGTCGCGCGTTGCCACGACGCTCAAAGGTCCACATAATCCGCTTTTCCGCTGACTGTAATGGAGATGTTGCATGTGTGAGGGATTTAAGATTTGACTGTTGATTCTTATGTAAAAGTTCGCGAGAAACACTATGGTGCTACTGGTTTTCTCTGAAATCAACTTCCAAGCTAAAAAAAGCTCTCAAGTTGAGGCCAAAATGGAGGAGATATCCCAATTATCATTATCCCACCCTACCCTGAGAGTCCACGTCTACATCAAGACAAACTATCCATGCAAAGATAGGGAGCAAATACATTGACAGGGCTGCCACTTTATTTGGGGACTCTAAAACTGAAAACACGGCATCCCCGCTAATGTATTTGCTCCCTACCTGTGCATGGAGAGTTTGTCTTGATGTAGACGTGGACTCTCAGGGTAGGGTGGGATATCCCCTCCATTTTGGCCTCAACTTGAGCGCTTTTTTTGAGCTTGGGAGTTAATTTCAGAGAAAACCAGTGGCACCGTCGTGTTTCTCGAGAACTTTTACATAAGAATCAACAGCCAAATCGCAAATTTCTCACACATGCAACACCTCCATTGTCGGTCATTTTGTGGTCAGGGTCCGTCCCTAAATTGAGGAACGCTCAAGGGAAGGAGGGGGGGTCGAGGAGAGCGTTACGCGATTTTGTTTTTACGTGTTAAAAGATAGGAACCTATGTCATGGAAGTGCTACAAGGGAGGGGGGTCAAAAATGGCGGAAAAGTGCGCTACGTAATTTAGGGACGGTCTCTTAGTGGCGATGTGACGTCACTAATTTCCACAAAAACAGAGGAAAGAAAGTAGCATGCACTTACCTCAGCTGCAAGGATTTTATTTTTGCTCTTTTCATCAATCAGCAAATTCAGTTTCTCGATAGTTCTAGGTTTTTTTGAGGTTATACCATCAGGCGCATTCGAAAGTTTGGTAGATTTCCGTTCTTTTGATCCCGCAGATTTTTATTCGATTCCCGAGACAATAAAACGGAAGGGGGGGGGCGGCGGCAGGCGTGCCTGATTGCTAACCGCTTTCCTTGATTGCCGCAAACCTTTATCACGGGGTGGTTCCTGCGAGGTTGTCTCCTTGTAAGATACCGGTCCAATTTTTCCCAGTGCGCATTAATTGATTGGACCCCCCGATTCAGGCATCTGTTGGCAACTTTGTTGGTGGCCCGCAGCGCGGCACGCGGTGAAAATTAAAAACAAGCGGCCGACCAACGACTTACCGCTGTGATGGTAACGGCGAATGATCAGCCACAATTGCCGATTTATTCCGGAGAACATTTCGATTGGAAAACAATCGTAGGGCTGAGCGTCTGGCTCATCCGATTTCAGAAATTGAATTTTTATCAGGTAATCCTATCGCTGAGGGCGTGTGTATTTTTATTCGATCTCCCTTAAAATTATCAGAAACTACATTTATAATAAATTACTATTTCTTGATTTCCTCCCTGGATGGTCAGTAGATCCAGCAATGTAAACTGTAAGTATGTCGTTTTGTGATCAAACAAAGAATAAGAGGGTGGAATCTCTTTAAGGCTGAGATTTGTCTTCACGTCAGACCTGGATCTGTATAGTTAAATCTATGAAACACGAAGAAAAATCATTGTTCGATTAGGTTTATTTTTCCCAACAACGCAGAAAATCTACACTAATAAAAATATTCGTGTTCTTGTGTTACTTTAGGTTTATACAGGAAGTTTACAAACCCAAAAAGTTTGGTGTTGATTTTGGTGTTGTCTGCAGTGAATATTGCAGAGAAAACAATGGAGAGACTGGGAAACCTCAAAGTCAACCGAAGGCTTGGGTTTATTTTGTGTTTTACTTCCGCATTAATCAAACTTTTTTGTTCGAGTATGCTCTCTGTGTAGGACTAACAGATGAAAAATTCCTAGCAATATTTCGAAGCACAAGGAAACAACAAAATTGATTTTTGCGTTCTTTCATCGTGCAACGCGGCCGGATGGAAGCGGTGTGGTATCGGTGTCGGGCAAGGATGAGCGCGGAGAGTGCCGCTATTTTGAGGAGAAACGACGTATCTCCGATAGTGTTCTAATGTAGATAGGCGATTTTTGTTTGACACGGCATAGTGGCGCTGATGACTGGGACGCTGGGAGTTGATTAGTCTGTTGGATGCTGAAAAGACCCCCAGATCCGCGAACCTGCGGACCCCCTGCCAAAGACAGAGACTACGTTGACTGCGGGCTCGCTTCGGCAGCTCCGATGTTGTCGAGTAGGGGGCACCGGCGCCTCTTTTCGGAGACAGTACAGGTGAATCTTGATTATCCGCGCCTCGCTTATCCGCGACTCGCTTATCCGCGCCTCGCTTATCCGCGCCTCGCTCATCCGCGCCTCGCACATCCACACCTCGCTTATCCGCGCCTCGCTTATCCGTGCCACACTTATCCGCGGTTTTTTCGGTGGCCTTGACCCTAAAACAATTTAATTGCAATTTAATGGCGCCGATTTCTTATTCCCTTCTTTCTTCCCCTCTGCTTCTTTCGCCCTCTTCTCTTTTCTGTAAGAAAATCTCTCCATGAACCACGTTCGGCAAAATAAACAATCCAATTTCCGTCTATTATTTAACAATTGTTTTAATCGATTCTTCTAAAATGCATCCTTTTCAATCCATTTCCCCGGCCGAATCGCTTAGTTTAGGAGTATCCGCGAAATTCGCCTATCCGCGGTCCGCGGTACCTCTCAGTCTCAATCACCGCGGATAATTTGACTACATTTCACAGTTAGGAACTACAATTTCTGGTCTAGTGTAGGAACAACGTATGTAGCATTAGCTTCCCTACGGACATATGTGTTTTTACGAATGAGTCGGAAGTTGTAGTTCCTAATTTCAAAAATGGTGTCTAGTTGAGACTACTGGACTTTTGTTCCTATAACGGGGCCCCCACAATGTCTCGGGATTTGCACATTAGTTCTCAACCCATGATGAACATTGAACACTAACTTTTCGGCAAAAATCAACTCCATAACGATTTCAATACGAGTTTTCCGTGACACCTGTTGCAGGAAAGATTTCTGTTTAATATTGTACAGTTAGTAAGGCGATAGTCCGATGGTTTGAGAATGTCGAGGGTCTGTTGGAGTAGGGCCCATGTTGAGCTAGACCTCCATACCAAGCGCCTTGTGTGCGGTGGCTGCAGTTTTGCCTGCGGCGCACCAACTTCCAGATAAAGGTAACTAGACGAAGTAATCTGCTGCCACTCTCCTTATGGAGTTCCTCCCAAAGTGACCGGCGCGGTGTGGCTTGGTTCACCGTGCCGGCCGGCTGTGCCAGTGCCGGACCCTCACTTTAAATTCAGCCTTATGTGCCTTCCTATCGGTCCAGACATTCTCTTTCCAACATCAGTCCACCGCTTTTTTCACCTGGACGTGGTTTCAAAGCCCTCTCTCTTTCATATACGCTCTCTTGTTCCATTCATTTAAATATCACCGCGTTCATGATCTGAGTCACATCTGTATAATGGTTCGTCAAATGTATGTGTGAAACAAATGAACTGGTTCCCAGAAATTTGCCTTTCGCCGAAAAACATAGCGTGATGCAGTCCGTGCGACCTCAACATATTCAGCCTGCCACGAAAAATTTTTTCCTCCTCTTCTTTTCTAAGGTCTTAGAGCAGCAAAAAATAATTAGATCTGCGTAATCACCAAGTTTCTTAGTTTAACCTGGAAAGACATGTAGCCAAATGTAAAACAGATGCATAGCGTCATCCTTCAAGCGAGATAATGTATAATCATGATATCGGAGTGCGACACCACGTATCACAGTGGCGTGGCGTGAATTGCGATGTATCGATTGTTATGCCATTTAAACCTATGGTAAAGAATCCATAGGTTTAAATGACAGATCGATCGATATATCGCAAAGCACGCCACGCCACTGGGACGTATCACCGTTTGCGGCGTCTGCAGACTTCCGGTCATCCTTCATTTTATCTTTGGAAAACGAGTCAACTTAATTTCCAGAAAATCTCCTTGATTGTTATTCTCTATCAGCAGAATATTCCGTAGAAATTTCAAGCTACACAGTTGACTTGCTTCTCACACAGAAAAAATGAAATAAGAGCAGAGACTTTAAAACGCTGCAATGGAGATACTTAATTTCACACTTTAGCCATCGATATCTCACCGGAAAAAAACGATGCTGCCTTATCATTCTGGATGTAAAAAAGTAAGCGACAACTCCCAAAACGCCGAGTTAACCTCCGCACTAGTTACCACAGCAATGTCAAGATGTAAAGCTAACTGCTGTGGCGGTTAACTCAGCGTTTCGGGAGTTGTCGCACACTCTTTTACATCCAGAATGTTAAGGCAGCATCCTTTTTTTTCAGTGATTCCATTGTAATCTCATCGATGATCGATACATGCTTTCATTCATCCCTAACTGATGGTATCAGGTGGATGAGATCACGATTTGCCGATAATATGGCTCCTACGAACTGTATGTAAAGAAAAATGTATTAATATCCAAAAATTTGCTTCTTATACACTGGAAAAAAAACACATTAGATCTGGAGTCCAGACTCTTAAAAACAGCGACAAGAAAAAATACTCTTGATTCAATCAGATTTAAGCTTAAATCAAAAGGAGATCCGCTCAAATTAAGAGGCTTGGTTCTTGATTTAAGCTTACATCTGATTGAATCAAGAGTATTTTTTCTTGTCAATGTTCTCAAGAGTCTGGACTCTAGATCCAATGTGTTTATTTTTTTCAAGTGTAGTCATCAAAATGTGATTCTCAAACACGGGGGTATGAAAGCCAATCAAGATTGGATAGCTATAGAGGCAACGCTTTGACCGAGTGGAGGCAGACGTCGCTAGCGAACACAATGACCCGCCGTGAACTCGGGCTGAGAGCGTCGGTCGCGTCGCTTCGGCGTGGCGCGTCGCGGCGTCGAGGACTCTCGGAAATTATGCGGCCGCGAAAACTAAAAGGCAGAAAAATGACGGATGGCCGACAAAATGCGAACGGCGGCGCGGACAGGCCGAGACGGAGAGGTCAGTTTACTCTGCCCCGAGTTGAGGAGGCATAGGTGCGCGCCGAGGCTCCAACTGAAGTGGTTGACATATAAGTGGTTAACTGGATTTGTGAGAATCGCATTGAGCTGAGTATTACATCAAGATACCTCAAGTTGAGTCGTTTCGGTAATGAGGGCATCACCGCAGACCAGCCGGCCGGACGCCTCCCATGCCAGGCCCACGTTGCACAACTGGCGAAAAAATAATCGCCAACTTTTAGTGAATGGTGTGTACTCTAACCTGTAAAATGGAATATTTAGGCGCGAAAGATGCTTCAGGATCAAAGTTTCCGGGGAAGTCATGCATAACTGGCGAAATAATAATCGTCAACTTTTAGTGAATGGTATGCTCTCTATGACTCTAACCTGTAAAATGGATTATTATGCGCGAAAGATGCTTCAGGATTCAAGTTTCCGGGGAAGTCATCCACAACTGGCGAAAAAGTAATCGTCAACTTTTAGTGAGTGGTATGCTTTCTATGACTCTAACCTGTGAAATGGAATATTTATGCGCGAAAGATGCTTCAGGATCAAAGTTTCCCGGGAAGTCAAGTGCCGGAAATAGGAACAGGAAAGTTTTCGGGAACCTTCCCAGTGAATTTCCAAAGTCTGAGTGATTGCCGTGCATATAAGGGTGCATGTGTGTATTTGTGCGTTTTTCTGTCAAAGCTTACCGGGAGGGTGAATTTTAGAATGGGAGCTAAGTGGAACTTTCCTGGGAAAGATTCCACTCGGTCCCTCGTCATGCCACCTTACAGTATTATTTAATAAAAAACGAGTGGTGGATACCGAAGTTGCAATCGGAGGAATACATTTTTCTAGTGTATACATTGGTTTCTGCGAAAAATTTACCGTAATCTGTACCAAAATCAACACAAAATTTGCGTCGATTTGTGTTTCACTTCCTACATTAACTTTAAGTAACACAAGAACACAAATATTCTTATCAGTGCACGTATGTTTCTGCGCCAAAGATTCTTGAAACAGTTTTCAGGCGGAATTTCTAGGGAACGTCACGGAACACAATTTGGGGGCATCCTCTTTCCTGGCGTAAGGATAAAAGTTCAAAAAAAAAAAAACAGGGATAAGACAGAAGATCAGCAGGTCCTAGTCTTCTCTTCTCCATATTCCAACCGCACGCTTTATCTGTGCTGTAGGAGTACCTAATCATCGACTATTTTCTTCTAAAAATGCCTAGGATATGACAATGGCTCAATGTGTTAAAGAATCAGTCCAGTTTCCAATTCTGACCCTAAATCATGGAGTCATTAATAGGTAGGTGCAATGAGTGTCGCTACTCACTCATGCAAAAAAGTACAATCTCGGGGTTATTTTCTGATGACGCCATGACAGGTCATTTAAGAGCAACCAGCCACTTACAAAGGCGACATTTTAAATGCCTACACAAGCAATCAACGTAGGTAGCGGTAACCAGGCAAGAAACAGAGATTAAGTGACAATAGCAATTTTGCCCACTGTGGCATGTTATTAGCAGAGCGCAATTTCTCCGTGCACCTAAGGGTAATTTTTAATCTCAGTGGGAATGACCTTTTCCTCTTTAAAATGTTGCTGAAATATCGGATTCCCCTCGGTGCACACGAGGGATTAAGAGCTTTTTCCTGTGCTCTTGTCACAGCTAAACCCATGTTTCGTCATCATTGAAACATGATATGATTTAACAACCCTAATTTAATCTCTCTTAAAGGGAGCCGGGCAGTCTCCGAGAAAAAAAGTTATCTTTCTTTAATTTCCGCGTTTTCATAGAGAACTATCTTATTCAAACTAATCGTAAGTACAAGTATTATTTTTACTGTCGCAAAACCCAAATCCTAGAGTTGAAAATTAATTGTCCTGGTTTTTATCTGTTGCAGGAATCCGTTTAGCTGCGAATAGACGTGCATATCACGTAGCCAAGCGACCCAACCATTTGATCTTACGAAGGCTGCAAATTCCAGACGTGAGTGCCATTTTGAAATTATGCTATCCTCCGTTCCGTCCCTTACTTTCATGGATGATCATCTTCTGCACTGCTCACCGGAAAAGCTCGTTTCCTAGCTTTTCTTACAGCGCGGATTTTTTTGGGTAACTTTTAGAGAGGGGACGTAAAAAGAAATGTGTCACCTCTGAGATGCTGTAGGTTTTTAATTTTCTTTTTCAGGTGAAAATGTTGTAAAAATGAAGGGGGGAAAAGCAAAACCTATTGAATCAATGGTCGCTAATACTATTGAACTTCCGTATCCTTTCATAACACTGATGATTCACATAAGTACTGAAGTAAGCTGAGGCTGAAACCAGTTGAATGAAATTTGCAGTTTTATGACGGAATCTTAATCTCACTGACTCTAAAATGCAGTTTTATTAATGCTACACTGGAAATGACACATTAGATCTAGAGGCCAGACTCTTAAAAACATCGACAAGAAAAAATACTCTAGATTCAATCAGATTTAAGCTTAAATCAAGAACCAAGCCTCTTAATGTGAGCGGATATGTCCTTTTGATTTAAGCTTAAATCTGATTGAATCAAGAGTCCATTTTCTTGTCAATGTTTTCAAGAGTCTGGACTCAAGATCCAATGTGTTTTTTTTCCAGTGTACATCCACCAGGGAGTCCTTTAATAACGAGGTTGAGTCAGATTCGAAAACTCCGGAAAATTTTGGGAAACTCTGGTCAGAGGTAGGTCTTTCCGGCCGAATCTCTCCGAAAAAACTTATTGCGTGACTGATTTTTCCGGCGGCTGAGCTAGGTCAACGCCAATATTTTCAGGTCCGAGAAAACACTCGCTTTCCTGTTTATTGATGATCGAAGCTCAATTTCTGTCAGAATCCAGTATTAATCAGAGCTTGACGACTCACTTTCACGGCCGGTAATTCTTTTCGATTTGACAACCGGGTGGGCGCCTTTTGCAGACTGTCAGTCGCGGATTCGCGCTTAAACCGATTAGCGGCTGGCAATCGGCTTAAGTTCTTTCTCTTGCAGCGGCCCTGGCTCCGGCCCCGAAGCCCAAACACCGCCGCTCCGCCACCTCTACCACCTCCTCCGCCGCCGCAGAATGCATTCCACCGTCCGAAAAAGAGGCATTCACCGATCACCGATCCCACTAGGGCCAACAGGAAATCGCGTGTCGAACACATCGTAAAAAGCTAAGCTCGCGGGGGTCTCCCAGCTTTGTTGTCAAATCCGTCCACGCAACTAATTTCCACAACTGATTGATGAAGCCATCCTGGAGTAGATTCTAATGTGGGCTGTTGCTGTACCTGGCGTCAATCACTTTGATTTAAGGTATTCACCGCGTAGCGGTAGAGCTCAGATGAGTGCTTTCTCATATACGTCTCACTTCTTTGAAAAATGAGCTATTTACGCGTGTGGAGTCAGACACCTTACCGGGGGGCGGAAGGGGGGTCCTGGGGCCTCCCTCAGAAAATTGTTGAATTTTTGAAGCATTTTTGAGCTAACGTGCAGTTTGAGTCAATTTCGTTCGGAATAATTAACAAAAGGAAGCGCCTTTCTTTCTTCTCTCCCCCGTTCCTTCCTTCTCTTTTCTGTTTTTTTCGGGCGAACGGGGAGGGATTACTCACCTCCCACGCCACCCTTTGGATCCGCTTACCGCTTTCATTCCAATCAATCTTGGTTTTGGAGACACTTCAGGGTCAATTTTGGAGGGCCTTTAATGATTCATAGTTCCGTGGACTGTGCTGACTCCTCTGAAAAAAATCATCGAAAAAATTCAATGCATACGATTCTAGATCGACAAAATTGAGCCATCGTATATTTTCTGCTATTTTTGCGTAGTGGCACACGCGTTTATGGTGCTAATTTCAATTCGCATTTATATCATTTTGGGGTTTTGGCCGCTATATAGACTGAATTATATTTACCATACAGACGGAATTTCACTCTCCGATTTTTAACAATGGTACTCTCTGATACAAAATCATATGAACAACGCGTAGCGCATAACGCTTGAGGCGCGGACCGCGAAGCGGATAGAGAGCGTAGAATCCATATTATTCATATTTAAACCAACATAGTTCACCTCCCCAATTCTTTGGAGAGGTACTATGGTTCCCTTGCGCACATGGAGGAAACGCCACCGCTATGGACAGCCCGGATCTTGACTTATCACTCATCCTGCCGTGATAGCGAAGAGGGCAGTAAGTTCATGCTAGGATGAATCTCGAGACACATAACAGCATGTACTAACCATGGCTCATACAGTAATGCACTTACTGCTCTCTTCGCTATGACGGCAGATCAGTCGTGCGGTTGGACGACGGGAGCGAACTCGAGCGGTCGATAACCGAGTGATCGGCGGGGATCTGGGATCCGGCGAAGACAAGCCGGCTCTCGAAGGTGAGAAACGAGAGGGACTTGTGAGTTTTTTCACCCTGACCCGGACCCGTCACGCGGACGCGGCACTCGTGTGAGGTGTGAGGCGAGGCGCGCGGACACCCCCGAGCCCCTAACGAGCCGCCACACCGCGCCCCGGCCGCCCCGCCGTGGGGAAGGGTGTCAGGAATGCCGGGCCCCCATTCCACTTCACCCAGCGGACGTTTATGATTATGAAAATGCAATCGTGATCCGCTGCGACGCCAAGTCGTTCCTCAAACGCCGTTTTTTTTAAATAAGAAGAATTTTTTTCAAATTCCGCTTTGCGCCCAAGAGGGTGCGAAGGGGGGGGTGGTCCAGGGGGGGCTTATCCCCCAGAAGTGAAAACACCGTGTTCATTCACTTGGTATTTTCTAAAATTTGCATCATGGAAGCCTCAAAATGCGTCCAAGAAGGATTAAAATTTCCAGATCTATTAATGCAACAATTTAAAAGAATTCTATACTGAAAGTAAGAAAATAAACGTAATTTTTGAGCAGAAATGTACGGTGAATCCGCGTCATGAAAGCCTCAAAATGCGTCCAAATAAAGTTAAAATAACAAAAATGGCACTCCAAAAATATGGCACTCTATGTTCCTCATGATCTGAGGTTCGCAGGACTAACCTCGGCAGTTTATACTACAGAGATACTTTGGCTAAAAACGTGCCGAAATCGTGTTTTAATGGGTGAAATTTCAATATCAGCAAAATGGTTTTCAACCTGTTCGAACTTAAAATTTTTGTTCAGCGAAAATCAACGAGAACAAATTGAGGTGTCTCGCCTATGTGCCATAGAGTGGTGACGCTAAATTGTCCACTCCTCACGTACCTATCTTAGATAAGATGTATGAAGCAACGGTACGGGTAACTACTGTGACCAGTGGCTCACATCAGCCAACGTATTTTTCAAGAATCTAGGTAGTTACGCCTAGTTTACGTTTCCTATTTCCGTGTTGAGAGTGGCAACGTAGCTGTGAAAAATAACAACCAAAGTGGTGCAATGCTTGAAAATTACAAAAACAAGAAGTGAGACCGACCCGAGGGTCTGTGTTACGTCAAAATGCCCTGCTCACTTTGAGTCTCCTTCAACCCCCCTCCCCCTCTTTATCATGATTTTCATTCTCATTATTATTTCTAATACTAGAATAACACGGAATATAAAACGTATGAATAAAAAAAATACTTCAGATCATTCTTGCTGTCAATAGTATTTACTCAGTTTTTCATCCTGAATCATTATTTACATATCCTCAAAGGTAGTTTATGAGTTCTCTGAACTCAAAGGTTGATTGTCGACATTTTGACGGTGGATGGTTGTGAATAGGGGTTGATTTATCTTTCGAGGTGCGGACTCCACCTCAGAGGGATCACCTCAAATTTGAGATTTTTCTTGCTGATGCTCCTTCTATTCACACTTACCTATTTCATATTTCAATGGATCAATACTGGTAATCATTACGGAATATTATGCCCTCATTTTTCAACCCTATTCCCATCTTCCAACGAGCACAGGCAGCCGCCCTTCCATGTGAAACTGTTCTGAAAAAAAAAAGACAACGACACTTGATCATTTAGTGAATAAAGCTGTATTTAATCTTGAAAATTTTTCGAAATTTTCATCAGACGAGATCGTTTAATTTTGGCAAATTTTTGTGTAAAAAGGTCAATATTTTTAGTTTTTTCTGCCTCCCTCCCTATCCCCCTACGGTTTTGTCATCGGAATTATTATGGCCATACAATGAGTTATAATAGGAGCGAATGTAACATCAGTCAAGCGAATGATGCTCTTTAGCGGAGACGTTGAATAAGAATCGATACTCTTTAAATCCCTTTCTCCTTGTCAACCGCGGCGAGTGCTTCAATCTTGTGAAATTGATACCCGTAATTCTCTCAGGGATTACGAATACCAGATTGAGAATTGCTGACGTTTTACTCTAATTACTCGTTGAGGTTGATTTGTATTCATTGACTGATGTCAGATTGAGGTCGAGCACAATCATTTTTCTTGTTTTTTTTATTATTATAAAAGTTACGGATATTATTTCTTGAAATTTCAGACCTTTGATTTTAATAGCGAATCAAATTCTCTGAAAAATTGGGAGCGTAATATTCACCAGACTCTTAAATAATTCGTATTTTATCAAAGAGAATTTGACAATATTCTATACTTAATACGATGTTTGACCTTAGCACGGCCGCTCAGATGTAATACTCTCCAAAGATCTCAAGCACCAGGAACGATTTGACCCACGATTCCTGATATTTTTTACGATCCAATTACCTTACAAGTGTCTGACGCTTATTGTCGGTTTATGTTACGAATGAAAGGTTTGAAACAACAAAACAAAACAGAGTGAAATCAAAGGTGGGAAAACACTTATACCGTACAAAAGCCGTACAAATAATTTTAGCTCACCATTCGGCAATCGACCACTTTACTATCTTCAAATTGCCATGATTGTCCGATCAAGGTGAGACTCGAGGTAGTTTGGCACTCATCATGTCCGTGCCGATTTGTCTTTGCACAAAAACCTCTAGAAAGGTATGAATCGCACAGTGGCGTGGCGTGCTTTGCGATATATCGATTG